TACTTACAATTCTTATAAACGTCCCAAGTCTAAACTAGATCGATCCGATGGAGGAATTTAATTACTAAGTTGGAATCGTAAAGTCAGGCGGATAAGCTAAGTTAAAGGTAGTATTTTACCCATAACGTAAGCTATAGATCTCTAATTGATTCAAAACATAATTATTTAAAAAGGTAAGAGATAGGGCTACAACTTTCATCGGGGAAGAAAACTCTAATTCAGCACTTATCTAGTTCAATTAAGCCAATTACTCAAAGAAATCCATTTTTGCCCATGCAAGATGAAGCACCCAAAGACATATGGTCGTGTGTCTTATTCTTAGGTAATTTCTAGCCTCGTAAATTATCTTTTAGCTATATGTCTTAATACACGACTATGGGTGTGTTTTCCTTTCTTGTTTTTCACTCTTTTATCTCCATGTTTAGGTTTGAAAGGATTTCAAAGTATGGGTTCAACATTTTCATCAATAAAATACACAATAATGACTCAATCAATCATTATTCAAACAATCTAAAACCCTTAACAATAAGTCATAAAAGGCATGACTCTATCACCAAATCTTATACGAACCTTATCCTTAGGAAATTCACTATTAACCAATCGTAGCCATACCCACACACATCCTACACAATCATTTTTTAACCAATTCATATCCATCCGTCCATAAAAATGCCTACTCAACACAATACAACACGATATGGAGCATTAGACAAATAACTCAAAAATTTATCTCTTGGCCGAATGTGTCATTCATTCAACTAAAAGAGATTTTCCTTAATTAATCATTCCATATAAGTCATATTTTCGTATTCAAGCCTAATCAAAGTTGCCACTTGTAAATTAGCTTTTGGTCATTTGTCTCAATACACACAATTGTGGGTGTGTTTTTCCTTCTTGTTATGCACTCTTTTATCTCCATATTTAGGTTTAAAAGGATTTTGAAGTATGAGTTCCCCATTTTTGTCAACAAAATACACAATAATGACTCAATCAATCATTATTCAAAAAACTTAAAACCCCTAACAACAAGTCATAAAAGGCATGACTCTATCACCAAATCTCATATGAACCTTAACCTTAAAAAATTCACTATTGGCCAATTATGGCCACACCCACACACATCCTACATGATCATTTTTAGCCATTTTATATCCATCCATCCATAAACATGCATACTTATCACAATCCAACACAATATGGAGCATTAGGCAAACAACTCAAAAATTCATCTATTGGCCAAATGTGTCATTCATTCAACTAAGAGAGATTTTACTGAATTAATCATTCCATATAAGTAATCATATTCAAGCCTAATCTTTCATGTAATCCATTTAACTTAATCTTTAAGTCAATTAGGGTTGATGGCCAAACCTACTATCTATTTAGTTCATTCTAATTCTTCATTTCATTGTTTCTAACTTCAACTAACCAAAGCTAAAGTCACTAAATTTAATTATTTAATTAGTAAATTCCATAATCCCTCAAACTTGGGACTTGGCCGGATGGCTCTCTTACTAAGCAACTAAATGATTTATTCTCCTTCAACCTTAAAACATCATTACTTAATCTTACTTAATCACCATTTAATTTATTATGCATATACAAACACATTTCACTCTACTTTTTTAGTTGATTGAATCTATCAAACCTAACTAGTTTTTTCATTCCATCAATTTCCTCTCTAATTTTAAGTTAAAACACAATTGACACATTTGATCAAACACCTAGAACATATCAATTTCCTACAAAACAATCTCTATATATTCTTCCTAGTCTTGGCTGAATGGTTCATCCCAATGAACCCATTCCATAAACTTCTCACTGTCCCATCCAATCACCCAATCATGTTCATCAATTCACCAATCATATAAATGTACAATCAATTACTCAAATCATACATTATCACATAATTCCAACGTGGATTAAAATTCTCAATTCATAATAAAATAATAATTAATCATTCAAAACATTAAACTACTTGCGTGTTTGTGTGTGGGTGAGATTACATTTACTCATCATCGTTACAATGTTTAATTAATCATTAATTACACAAACCAAACACCAATTGAACATAAATCATTCAATTACACAATTTGAAATCCTAGGGTTGTAAGCACATAATTGCACCAATTCAATACATAATCATCTTAAGTCTTGTAGTGAGTTAAAGTTACACTTACCTAACTCGTAGCTTATTGTTTAACTTTGCTTGAACCTTATAAACTTTTTCTCTTTCTCCTTCGTCTTGGTTTCGACCAAGACTCCTTTTCCTCCATGTCATTATGCTTGCTTGTTTAAGTCTTCTAATATGGTTTTATGGGTGGATGAGTGTTGATTTTGGATAGAATTTGGGTAGGGTTAACTTAATTTCTTTTATCTCTTTATAATTCTCATCTTAGTTTTCTCATAGCCTTATTTGTTCATCATCCTTTTTCTTCTCTCCATCCGGCCAAATATACATTAAGGGGGAGGAGTTGAATTTTAATTCCTTAGTTATATTATAACCCTCAGATCATTCCTCGAGTATATCTTCTTTCTTTCTTTGAATTTCTTCCCTCTTTCTCTTGTGTTTAGTCGATTGATTCAATCCTAGAATTTTAGTTTTTAAACCGAAATTTCTAAATAAGTTCCAATTGAATGGCTAGTTCAAATGCTCCTCTATTTCATCAACAATTGTCATTTTAGTCCTCAACTTTATAATTCCATTCAATCACACCGTTAAATTTCGATTTTTCACTTTTAATTGTGACATTTCGAGTCCTCTTTCAATAAATTTTCAAATATTCCTCCTTCCATACATACATATATAATTATTTAAAAGGTTTTTGGATTAAGAATATTACATTCTCTTAGCCAAACTCTCTTCCTCTCGACAATTCTCTCATTCCTTGAGAAATTTTGGATTCCCTCTCGTTTTCTCTCTTGCTTCCTAGTTTTCATTCTCTCTTAAGTGTTCGAGTTCTCTCTAAAAAAGATAGAGGCAAATGAAAACCTTAAAAGAAACTTTTCTCACTCTTTTTTATTCTCTTGGCCGAATTATATGGACCAAAATAGCCTTAATGATGCATATGTCCTTAAGAGGTTATTTTACACTTAGACTTTTTAATTTAGGTGGAACGCCTAATTGAGATATTATTTCATAAATTAATTCATGTTTAGAACACTAATTAAATTTTAATCCTAAGTTATACATGTGTGAGAATTATTTAATTAAACTATATTTTCTAAGTCTTTCACTTGTCAATTAATTCATTATTCACGCATACACTAAGTAACATTAATTTGAAAATATAAACACCAAACATAATATGCATATACTTAACAAATAATTATCAATAATAACACACACAGCATGCATATATTTAGCAAAATAAATATATATACAAAGTATAAAAATGTTTTAAGATGTTGATAGTTCCAAATCCCAACATGCATAATTCAAATATTAAAATCAAAAGAAAAAAATATATAAAAAGAGTGAATCAATATTGTTGATAGTTCGACACATGTTGATAAATTTTAGCTAAAGTTTTAAACATTGACAAATTAGGCATCTGTTTTTCACTTACAAATACGAGTTATGCTTCATAAGATGCAATGATTGAGCATAATAAATCAATCATTCTAAAACAATCTTGTGTCATTTATAAACAAACGTCGAATTTCTAAAATGGATAATATTTAATATTATTGTTCTTCCATGCATCCAATTGTTGTTCCCACTCTTTTACTGTGGTTTCAAAGCTAACCATTTTAATTTATCAAGACTTGGAAATATAAAATGTAAAGAAAATCTTTAAAATAATTTTCCAAAAGGTTTATCGATCCCATTTTAAGGGGTGCAACCCTTCTTACATACATTTAAAAAAAAAAAAAAAAAAAAAAGACAGAGACTGGGTCATGCCCATGGGCAAAAGAGACATTTGACGACCATGAAGTTGGCATGAAAATCATCGGTTTGCACTTTTGAAGTTTGGACCATACCGCAAGTTATAAGTTTGAAATCGCAACTAGGCACAAAAAATCACACAACCAAATCTCAACTCCGAACTGACCACGTTTTTTCCTTTTTTTTTTATTTTTTTTAAGAAGAAACTTAAAAATCTGAAAGGAGGAAATAGCGTTAAAAGATATTTCATTTTTTTTCTCGAATTTAATCGAAGCCTCTCCTTTCTCTATCTCTCTCTCGCACACAAGACTCGACCTCTCTCCCTGACTGGGTGTACTGTGTAACAACCTTCTTTCTTTCTGACATTTTCTTTCCTCTTCTTGCCTCCCAAACACGCCCTTAACCAAATTCCACATCACAATCACTTCATCCCCCTTACCTATACCCAAAAAAACAAAAGAAAGACAAAAGCTTTAAACAGGGAGCCCCAAAGATCAGACCTTTTCTTTGATTATTTACCAGGCCATGGCTTGGAGGCGCCTAATCACTCAGGTCACTTCGATTTTCTTGTTCTTCTTCTTTTGTTTTAAATCTAATCAAGATTTGTATTATTAGTATTATTGTTATTGTTATTATTATTAAGTTTGAGGTTATTCTAAGATTAACAAAACCCTAAATTTCTTCGTAATGAATTTGGGTTTGTTATCTATAGGGAGTTAGAGTTATTGAATCTAGGTGTATTTTGATCAGAAACTGTTTGCCTTGTGAATAAAAATGAAAGTGTTTTTATTTGGTTGCCGAGAGAAGGTGTTGAACTGGGGGAAGTTAGGGTTTTTGAATTTGTGATGATTAGTGTTGTTCTTTATTGAAAAAGGACAGTACAAACATTTGGGTCTGGCTTAAAAGTTTGTTTGCTTTTGTTTTTAATTGTGTGATTAGGAGCAGAGAGGCTTTTTCTTACAAATTATGGATTTCTTATGATATTTATTTGTTTATTGTTGCTAATTGTAATCACTCTAACGAAGTAAATCCAATTGCTTTGAAAATGCACTACAAGAATTCGTGATTGTTTTAGGTGCTTGACTGTGTGTCAATTCCCGCACCTTACCTGATGATACTGTCAGCAGTTTTCCAGCTGCTTGATTTCTATAGAAACAACGGTTTTATGGTATATGCAAATGCCATGGATATATCCTCGCATATGGAGCGAAGAGGACTTGTGGCATGCCAATTTGTTGGGATTAGTTGAGTTAAGCATGGCAATTCTGCTTCTTACTCTGTTAAGTTTTTGAAGCTGGTGACATTCTAAAAGAAAGTTGCAAAAAAAAAACAAATACAAGTAATTAGTATGTAAAATGGCACATTGAGTCTCTTTTCATGTTTTGCTGAATTCTGGATTGATCTTGTGAACAGGTTTCAAGGCATCAATCAGAGTTGGGACAATTCAAAAACTTGTTCGTCAGAACTTATTTTCCCATCAACAATTGTGGAGGTCGTGTGGGTATGTTATCTACCTTATAAAAACTTGGTAGTGTTGGTATTCAAAGATTAGCTTTGTACTACATGGTATTGCACTATTAGTTTGTCAGATACCTGTTGCTGTGGAGGTATCTTGGGCCAAAACATGATAACAATACTACTACTAACCTTAAAATAAGGGACTGGCTTTCTTTGTCAAAAAGCTTGTATTTTTACTTTATTTATGTATTGCCTTTAAGAGATCTTTAAGATTGTTGGTAAATGAGTATCTATTGTGCCAATTTTGAATTGTCAGAGCCTGAAGTTCTAGATGCACATTCTTTCATTGTTTATACTTTAACAGTAAATTTATCTTTCTTTCTATCTGGTAGGGAATAAGGTTTTAAATTCTGAAAGGAGGTTTCATTCAAGCTATGTTGGTAATTTAGCTCGTAGGATGCGTGATACAGACGAGGGTAGTGAAGTTCTCCAACTTAAAGAACTTCTCCGACGTGATCCTGAAGCAGTGATAAGACTTTTTGAAAGTCAACCATCTTTACACGGCAATCCTTCTGCACTTTCCGAATATGTCAAGGCATTGGTCAGAGTTGACAGGCTGGATGACAGCGAGTTGCTCAAGACCCTTCAGAGAGGTGACTGAGAAAAGACTTCTTTCTGTTTTATATATACATGTGTGTGTGTGTGTATCACATTTGCTGTTATTTTACTGAACAATATCGCCATATCATTGTTATGATGATCTTGCAGGAAGTTATCCCTATCATGTCTAGAAAATAAAGATTCTGAATTCTGTCAAAATCGGGTTTTTCAATACCCAATATCCTTACCGCAAGTCAGATGCGTTGATGGAAATTTCTTTTCTTTGCTTGTATTGAAAGATCTTTTTACATGCCTTTACAAGAATCTGTAGAATATTATTTGTAGCTTAGCCTTTCAAAATCTTTTGTTTAGCTTTTTGACCATTTCTTTTTGAGTTAATCCTCACTGACCTAGTGGCTCTTGATGATATTGATTTATTAAGCTAAAGCTGTCTTCAAAATTTGTAGGTATTTCCAACTCAGCAAGGGAAGAGGAAAGTATAGGAGGCCTTTCAGTTTTCAGAAATGTGGGAAAATCTACAAAAGATGGCATTCTTGGAACTGCTGGCACTCCTATTCACATGGTGGCTGCAGAAGGAGGGAATCTTAAAGAGCAGCTTTGGCGTACAATTCGCTATCTCGCGCTGGCCTTTCTGTTGATTTCTGGTGTAGCTGCACTTATTGAGGACAGAGGAATCAGTAAAGGTACAGTGGAGTCATGATATGTGTGGTGCTCCCATTGTTTGATTTAATCATAATTTCATTTTGATGAACAGTTCATTCCTTCATTTGTCATGTTGAATGTATTAGGACTTGGTCTAAATGAGGAGGTGCAACCTAGCATGGAATCTAACACCAAATTTAATGATGTAAAGGGCGTTGATGAGGCAAAGGCAGAACTAGAAGAAATTGTTCATTATCTTCGAGATCCAAAGGTAAACACTTATTTGCCATTATGATCGTCTCTCTGTGCTGTCTGAGATGGTAATGCCTTTTGATAGGTGAACACCTAACAGGCATTTCCAGCATAAGATACACTATTACATATTTTAATGTTCTTTTACCATGCAAATGAATATTCTGAGTCTTCATAAACAGGCCTCATATTCGTTCTGTTTACACAAACATTTTTTTTTTTTATTATTATTCTAGTCGTAATTGATGATTATTAATGATAATGGGTGATAATTTTCTATAGACTTGACACTTGGAAATTTCATTTGTTGCTAACATGGTTTATATAAAACTCAATCGCTAGCTAAACAGTCAAAAGTATAATTTCTCCATTTTAATGAGTTATATGTTGAATTTCCCTCAAACTCTAAGGCCATTCTTTCCCTTGAAGTTTCTTGAGCATCAAAAAGTTTGATTTTTCTCCTTAAATGATCATTGCTAGCAGATGTCTGAAATTATAGATTGTGCTTGATGAAGTTGCATGTTCAATTCTTTAGATTCATACATTCCTGTATGTTTTTCACATTTCAAAAATGTCAATCTCTCTCTTAAACTATTGTTTGGCTTTCTCTGTTACAGCGCTTCACTCGTCTAGGTGGCAAGCTCCCAAAAGGTGTTTTGCTTGTTGGGCCACCTGGCACTGGCAAGACAATGTTAGCCAGAGCTATTGCTGGAGAAGCTGGGGTTCCTTTTTTCTCATGCAGCGGAAGCGAGTTTGAGGAGATGTTTGTTGGAGTTGGAGCTCGAAGGGTGAGGGATCTTTTTTCTGCTGCAAAGAAGCGGTCACCATGTATAATATTTATTGATGAGATTGACGCTATTGGGGGAAGCCGTAACCCAAAGGACCAGCAGTATATGAAGATGACTTTGAATCAGTTGCTTGTGGAATTGGATGGATTTAAGCAAAATGAAGGTATTATTGTGATTGCAGCAACAAATTTTCCAGAATCACTAGACAAGGCACTGGTGAGACCTGGACGGTTTGACCGCCACATTGTTGTTCCGAATCCAGATGTGGAAGGCCGGCGGCAGATTATGGAATCCCACATGTCAAAGGTATTATTTTCCCATTGCAGAGAAATATAAGGTGTATGTTTTGGGGTCTGAGTCTGACCTCAAATTAGCAATGTATGGTGCTTTGGTATGGACTGTATGTTCAACATATTCAACATACCTAACCCAAGTACTTAGCCCTTAAGCTTTTGGCTCTAATATGCAATCTACTGTTGCCTCTAGTTACTGAATGATTATATTGCCAGTCACCAGGTATCTTGGTTAGTCATAAAAATCATGACTGTCCTTTCATGATTTCTTCAGCCCTCTAACAATTTGGTTCAGACATTTGAGTATCAGTGCATGGGCTTGAATGATAATTTTTGTGGTCAGAGTTGGATTTAATGCGGTAGCACAATCAGCCTCCATTGGCAAATAACAACCAACAGTGTCAGGCTAGCAGCCATCAGTGTTGGTTAATAAATGTGTTCTGTCAAGATCTTCTTTAATTGATTCACAAGAAAAAAGTGTTTTTTTTAAGTGACTTTTGTTAGGTGATTAGTGTTTAAATGTGATTATTTAAATTTTATAATTATTTGTGGACTGCAGTGACGGAGCAAACTGCCATATTGGTTAATAGCAACCAACAATGGCCGACTATCCTTTCATGATTTCTTGTGGCATGTGCTCCAGTGGCACTACAAATTCGGTTTGAATAAAGAATTGCTGGTTTACCGAACTCGAATAATAATCTTGGTGGTCAGAGTTAGGATTAACTGCACAGAAATTTTTATTTTGAGTGACCTTAAGATCTTGCTTATAGTGTCATTGTGACGAACAACTTAAGAACGCGTGATGATTCTTTGTGGTTTTGCAGATCTTGAAGGGAGATGATGTTGATTTGATGATTATTGCTAGAGGGACTCCTGGGTTCTCAGGTGCTGATCTTGCAAATTTGGTCAACATTGCTGCTCTCAAGGCTGCTATGGATGGTGCTAAAGCAGTGACCATGGCTGATCTAGAATATGCAAAGGACAAAATCATGATGGGAAGTGAGCGTAAGTCAGCTGTAATTTCTGATGAGTCACGGAAGCTGACAGCTTTCCATGAGGGTGGGCATGCCCTTGTGGCCATCCATACAGAAGGGGCTCTTCCTGTTCACAAGGCAACAATAGTTCCCAGAGGTATGTCTCTTGGCATGGTTGCCCAATTGCCCGATAAGGACGAGACAAGTGTATCCTTCAAGCAGATGCTTGCTCGGTTAGATGTTTGCATGGGGGGCGGGTTGCTGAAGAGCTGATTTTTGGAGAAAACGAAGTTACCTCAGGTGCTTCTTCTGATCTCCAGAAAGCTACTGATCTTGCAAGAGCAATGGTTACAAAGTATGGCATGAGTAAAGAAGTTGGAGTTGTCACCCACAATTACGATGACAATGGGAAGAGTATGAGCACTGAGACTAGGCTTCTTATTGAGAAAGAAGTGAAGTATTTCCTGGAAAGGGCTTATAACAATGCAAAAACAATCCTCACCACCCACAGCAAGGAGCTTCATGTGCTTGCTAATGCTTTGCTTGAGCATGAGACACTCTCGGGGAGTCAGATCAAGGCTCTGCTTGCCCAAGTCAGTTCTCAGCAGCAGCCGCAGCAGCAACATCAACAGATAGTTGCATCACAGGGCAGTTCACAGTCTAACCCAGTGCCTCCTTCGACCCCTAATCCAGCCTCATCTGCCGCCGCTGCAGCTGCTGCTGCTGCCGCTGCTGCAACAGCGAAAGCTAAAGGCGTTGCTCCTGTTGGATCTTAGCATAAAAACTGTTGGTGAGGCCTCTTGCCAAGCTGCTGTTTATTGAATTTAATGTGCATATAGTCATTGACCTACAATTCTGTGTTTTGAGAACTGTAGTTTGATTGCTGCCAGTAAGGTTCTTTTATGTATTACTATGGAGTGTGTGATTGTCTTTGACCTAAAGCAGTAGAAGAACTAGATGGCAGTAACTTCACCAGGCCAGTTGTAGCTGTTACTTAGGATGGCCTTGGTAAACATCCCGGCAATTTTTCTTTTTATATTTATTTTAATGGCTCGTTGCTCAAATGGTTAGAATAATGTTTTAATTGAAATTTTGCTCACCTTTGGACTAATTGTAAAATTATTAGATAAATTTGCTCCTTTCTTGGATTGTTTTGTTCTTGATTAATTTGCTTCTTCTTGGCAAATTTAAAGATTTGTCTTCAGGATGGTGTCAAAACAAACGGAAAATCTGGTGGCTCCGGGAAGTGATGGATTCGTGGCATTCTTTAGGTTGACAAATGTTAACGCCCCTAATTCCGTAACTTCTCCTTCTAATGTCTTCCCCTCCAAGAGTCCAATTCATTATTAATTCCTTCAACTGGTTAAAAAAAAACACACACACACACACACACATCACTGAGGACAGGTGACGTAAGGATTGTATTAGGGTTGGTGGCAATGGAAGTCTTTGTTATAGTTTTAAATACCGGTTGTTATTTGACAAATTTGATAACATATGTTATCGTTGGTCATTGTTATAAGAATTCAATCTCTGTGGTTGCTATAAGAATTCAATTTTTTGTTTCACATAGATAACAACGACAATAATAGCTGTTATGTTGTTATTTAGAAAAAATTTTTCTAAGTTTGAATATGTTGTTATAGTTATAATAAATTCAAATATTATGATATTAAATTATTAGAGATGTTATTATTATGTTCTGTTAATATGCATTTATAAGGTTAGTTATCGTGTTTGTTATTAGACAGTCAGCAATCACGATCCCGATCACAATCTCGATTCCAATCAGGTTCGTGATTTAAAAATATAGCTCAATCTGTAGTTTTGGCACATGGAAGGAGCCAACCCTGCGGTTCAAACAATAGCAATTGTCAATTGAATTCTGAACTGCTGAGAATGGAGCTGATTATGTATCACTTTTTCCATCCAAACTAACCATTAAGTTAATCGCCAAAAATAATGCAAAAGATAGAATTGTGTGATGCGAGTCTTGGAGATGATCTAAAAATGCCAGTGACGATAGAAGACAAAAATTGATGGAAGGAAGGATCATAATTATTTTTACACAGCGGTAAAAGAAAAGACATAATAAGAATTAGATGGAATGTTTTTATTGCGAATGAAATGAGTATTGAATTAAAAAACGATGAAACAAGGTGATGGAATATGGATATTGGGACTGTGATTCGCCATTTTTGGGTTGGATCATTGATCCAAGAGTTACCCATTTCTTTAGGTCTCATGCTACGAAGTGGCATTCATCCAACGCGACACAACCATTACGATTACTAGGCCAAGCGATCGAGGTTTCTCAAAACAGATATCCATTGTTGAACTTGAGGCTCCCTCTCCTCTATTTGTTCTATCACTATTAACCAACCTCCGCTTTCACGCGTTTTAAGTTTACTACTCAGAGCTGTAAAAACCATTTCCATGACTCAGTCCCTTCCAAACCGAGGTGAGGTAACCCTCCACTTGATTTAATTATAGACGAAACACAATCATTTCTTTCTTTTCTTTTCTATCCAGATAACAGTAATATCCTTAAAATTTTTAATCTTTTGAGTTTCTCTATGATTTATCTGATGTGGGTCATTGAAGTATCACTGAGAATTGATAATTTTCTATGAATTTCTAATACTATAGGCATTGGGTTTATGAGAATTGTAATGTTCATGATCTTGGGTCAGTTTCATTTCTGCTATCTATGTCTATGGATTGTCGATTTTCTCTTATGATGTTCTGTTTCTGTATGTATTTATGTGTGTTTGGTCTGTTGGCAGCTGGCCAACAACAAAGAGTTGTTATAGAGAACAGCCATGGTGAAAAGCTTGTAGGGATATTACATGAAACTGGTTCCAAAGAGCTTGTTATTTTGTGCCATGGATTTCAATCTTCAAAGGTGCTTTTTTCCTATCATTTTTTTTTTTCTTTTTTGCACCAACTTATCTTGCTCTTTTCGTGTGTCCGTTTTGCCTAAACAAGCCTGTTGCTTAATCTTTTTTATGGTTTTGTGCTCTCGCTTGTGTGTGCAGGAACGGATACCAATGGTAAACCTTGCTGCTGCTCTAGAGAAAGAAGGAATCAGTACCTTCCGATTCGACTTTGCCGGAAATGGGTAAACTTTCTTTGCAATTAAAGAAAATAAGAGAACATCCCATCAACTATTTTAAGATAGTGAGATAGTAGGCAGACGTATCTGTCAATGATCAGTTTGGTGTTTGTGGTTGCTACTACATCTTTTGTTTGTATTGGACAGACTCTACTTTGTGAACTTAAAATTTTAAATATTACAAGCCAATATTATTGCTAATTAAATATTGTTAAGGATGTTTCTATTCTCTACTTCCCAGGGAAAGTGAAGGCTGGTTTCAATATGGTAACTACCGTAGAGAAGCTCAGGATTTACGTTCTGTGGTCCAGCATTTTCAGGGGGAGAAACGTGTGATAAGTGCAGTTATTGGACATAGTAAAGGTCTGTTTCCTTCCTTCCTAGTCTATATAGAACGAAAGAACCAATAAGAAATAAAATTGGACAGCATGTCTGAATATGTGTGAATTTTGAACAAAGCACTCTGCTGCGAACTATAGATATCATTTTACATGTATATTTACATATTGGGATCTTTTTTTCTTCTGATGTAACCTTTTGTTGGCATGCAAATAACATCAGTGTTTACTTTATTTGGTTGAGAATCAGAATTCAGAGCCTCTTAAGTGTTGAAGAATGCTCTCTCTTCTGAAGAGGTACCACTTTGATTGTGGCAAATGCACTTAATAACAATTCTTTAGAAAAGCAGTTGTAATTCTGCTTCTTGCACAATGTCCTTCATTGAAATTTAGTTAAACCTGGAAAATCAAATGTAAAAAATAATTATTGATCTCAGTTTCTTTATAGGGCTGGTTTGATACAAGAGTATATTGCAGGAGGAAATGTGGTGCTCTTGTATGCTTCCCAGTAAAATGATGTCCATACAGTGGTTAACATTTCTGGCCGGTTTAACCTGGATATTGCAGGAGGAAATGTGGTGCTCTTGTATTCTTCCCAGTACAATGATGTCCATACAGTGGTTAACATTTCTGGCCGGTTTAACCTGGAGAGAGGCATGGAAGCCCGCCTGGGTAAAGACTTTTTACATAGACTCAAGCAACACGGATATATAGATGTCACTAATAGAAAAGGTAAGTTACTACATGTGATGTTTTCATATGCTCATAGATCCTGGTCCGTATATTGTTCCTTGATCTTTACAGAAGTGTTATTATGTTAGATTTTAGAATTTGATGCTTGTCAATCTTTAATATAACAAGGCCTTGTGTAGTTTCTCGTCTGCTAGATATAGCTGATGAGAAATGATATGTAACAAGAAACAATTACAAGAATAAGTTTTATGAAGATTGCAGGCCTTTGGATTATAATCTAATGTGGAACCTGATGGTGGATTCCGCTAATGTAATTGCTGAAGTGTATACTTGAAACTTATTCTTGTAAAATTTTATTAAGAAATAGCATCACTCGTTGCTGATACTGGGTGTTGTTTGTTAGAGTAATCCATCAACTGGTTACCTTTTACCATCTTGTTGCAGGAAAATTCGAGTATCGTGTGACCGAAGAAAGTTTGAAGGATCGTTTAACTACTGATAATCATAGAGTCTGCTTATTGATTCAACAAGAGTGCAGGTCAGAAATTGCCAACCATTCCATTTTCATATATGGCTGATATGTTTTTCCATGTAATATTTGTGGTGAGGGAAAAATTGTTGTGGTTCTTTCTTTCCCTGAATTGTACTAGAATAAGAAAATAGCTATGACACAGTGCAACTTCTCAAGTCACCAACAGTTTGAAGAGTACACCGTTGATCTTTGTCTCCAAAAATCTTGTGAAAGCTCCAGTTTATCTGGTCACGTGTTCTTTGTTGCTTCTTGCAGTATATCACAGTATTTTCATTTTGTTGCGTGTTGTGATCTTAATGCTTTTAATTACAGGGTGTTGACAGTTCATGGATCCATGGATAAAATTGTTCCAGTTGAAGATGCTTTGCAATTTGCCAAGTTCATACCAAATCATAAACTACACATCATGAAGGGAGCTGATCATGAATATACTTCACATCAAGGCGAGTTAGCTTCAGTTGTATTGGATTTTCTGAGGGAAGATTTTAATGCAGAAAAAGACATGCCTAAGCTACCATTGAAGGATCATTCTTTTCGTTCTCGACTGTGATAGTTTCGCTGACATCACAAGAATAAATTAGCTCCCAGAGCAGTAGGATTAATTAGGTGAAGTACTTTGGAAGAGTGCCTGGAGCTACTAGTTGGCTACTCTGTGTCAGCACTCACCTCCAATGACACGACCTGAAAAGTGGATATAAAATGCACTAAGCAGTTCAATCAGCCTGGATTAAGAATTTTCCTAGCAACCGTCCACGCATTTTGGGCTTTGTGTTATGAGCTCGGCATTTTGTCCCACGGGAATGAAGTTTTTGGTCTTACGATTTAGCCAGTCCTGTCACAAATTGTATTGTGCGGGTGGAAATTTCCCTCACATATTTGAACTTATCAGAAGGCGTAGGACAGAAAAAAGTCATGTTCTATATATTTATGTCATGTCAGTCTCTAAATACAGGAATACTACAAATATTATGAATACTGTTTTGAGAAAAGAAGGTTGGATTTTCTGATGAAACTTTTGAAGTAATCATTGTTAATCTGAGAAGAGAGGAGGAATATCCAAATGGCAGGACAGAAAATAAGATAAGCACCCCACTGAAAATACATTCTTTTCTTTCATAAAGTATTCCATTCTATCTAAGCAAATATATAAGCACAAGGAAAGCTATGCTACAGTCTAGCACTCCGCCAACAAAATCCTTAAACTTCAGAATTTCAAAGACAGGATCTTATATTTGCAACTTACATAAATTACAGCTGTAATCGATTTCAGACTACATTCAGTAGAATTTTAAGAAAAGTCACACTACCTACCAATAAAAAAAGAAAAGTAGCAAGGAGACTAAGTTGGATTCAATTTCTCAGATGAAAATCCCTCAACCACGCTTTATTTGATTAAGCTGCAACAGTCTTTGGCTTCACGCCTATCTTTTTCCAAGAAACGCTAGGCATTATCTGTTTTGTATCAACCCGATCCTTGAATTTGATGGCAAAATTGAGTAAAGAATCAAGAAGAGAATCTGAAAGAAGGTGTGGTTTGAGCCCTAACTCAATGAGCTTCGTGTGCTTAGCATTGTAGTAATGTTCTTCTGCCTCTACTCTTGGGTTGGGCACGGATATAGTTTTCACGTCAAGCCCCAACTTCTCTCCGGTCTTTGTTACAAGAGAAGCAAGTTCATTGACAGAAAATTGCTCAGTAAATTGATTGAAGACCCGAAATTCACCAGGCTGTGCTGGGTTCGCAATAGCAAGTTCGACGCACTGGACTGTGTCCCTTATGTCAAGGTAGCCCCTGGTCTGAATTGCATGAATTAGAAAGTGAAAGAACAAACTAATGAAAGGCAATTTTATATGTACATGCAAGATAAAAACAAATCAATTGATCACCAGTTGGGGAGAAAAAAAACCACATTTTTGTTGTAAAAATTTCTCCCATAGAACCAACTGAAGCCAACAATAAAAGATACATCAAAGGTGTGACAAAAGGAAAGTCATTAAATAGCATATGTTCGTACTGATATGGCACATCTGATAGGCAGCGATAACTACTTTATCATTCCGACACCACATCAATCCCTAGTGATAAAGACATCATCCAAATTTGAAGTGTGGCCTGATGTGAACATCAAACAAAATAGTCATACAAGTCAAGATCTAGGTTTATCAAAATCACAGGTAATATAAGCAACTTGGTTTATGGTGGTCTCATTTCTCTAATGAATATCGCATCATAAGCGAACATGAAAAACAGTCTTCTAAATCATATTCTCCAGTTTACAACAGTCTACTCAGGAGCATCTCCTAGAAACAGTGATGCTCCAGTAAAGCATTTACTTAAATCTCTTATCTAAGGCAATCTTCAGGATCTGAATTTTAAAGAAACCGAAAGTGGACACTACAAAGCATTGGGTTTCAAGCTACAAGCCAAGAACTATATTACAATCCTTGAGCTCTTGTTCTCAGCACCTAACTTTCAAAATTCAAGAATTGTTTTCAGTACTATAAATTATCATCAGTCCACATTTTATGCAAGAAGAAAAGAATAGAGAAAGCAACGTGCAACAGAATTGTTATGCTATTATTGAGTCAAGGAATCTCACCTGACCCCCTTTCCCATAAACAGTAAGTGGATGACCAACAGCAGCCTGGACACAGAACCGATTCAATGCAGTTCCGAACACTCCATCATAATCCAGCCTGTTAAAGAGCTCTTCATGCATCTCAGTCTCATCTGTCCTTACTCCATAAACCACCCCTTGATTCAAATCAGTTGCTCTAATTCCCCAAGCCTTGCAAGTGAAAGCTATATTATTTGAGTCATGGACCTTACTAAGATGGTAGAAAGAGCTGGCTTGCTTGGGGAAAGGCAAAGTATCTGTTCTTCCATTATGATTAATTGTTATATAACCCTCCTCAATATCAATGTTTGGTGTTCCATATTCTCCCATTGTCCCAAGTTTCACCAGATGGCACTGATCCCTAAATTCCTTTATAGCAAAGAGCACATTAAGTGTTCCAATCACATTGTTGTGCTGAGTAAACACAGCTCTGTTCCGATCAATCATTGAATATGGGGCAGATCGTTGCTCCCCAAAATGGACTACACCATCAGGTTCAAATGAATTGAAGGTCTCAGACAAGAACTCAAAGTCACAAATGTCGCCAATATAGAGTTCAATTGTTTTTCCAGTGACCGATTGCCAACAACGGAGCCGGTTGTGGATGGAAGCAATAGGAGTCAGGGAGTCTAGACCAAGTTGGTGGTCAAAGAGACGACGAATGAGGCTGTCAACAATAGCAACCTCGTAACCTTTATTGGATAAGTGGAGGGCAGTGGCCCAACCACAGTAGCCATCTCCACCAATAACCATGACCCTCTTTGGCTTGGATGGTTTGCTTGAATTTTGGTGAGAACCAGATCTGGATTGAGTTGGTGTTTCTTGGCTAATGGGAACTGCAGTTGCACGAACAACACAGCTTGTTTGCTGTCTTCCTCCTTGCAAAACAACCCTTTTAAATGGAGATTTTGAAGTTCCCAATGTAAAAGTAGAGCACTTCGTTGGGCATTCATGAAACGGCTGAGAGAATGGTCTGCGGCTGGATGACAACTTTAAAGAGTAAGAAGTGGAAAGCAGATGAGCCATACTGATGTTTGGTTCAGATCAAACAAATCCACACGCACCTGGAAAATACCCAAAATAGTCAAGAGCAAAAAAGTCAGAGATCATTGTAACTGAACTTCAGGCAAAGATGACATCTCAGATAATCCCAACTAAAAACAGCCAGAGACACTGAGAATCTCAAGAGATAGAAGCCACTTTCAGATAGAACTTCATCAAAATATGACTAACGGTAAGTAAATTCACAAGAAAGAACCTACAATCTCTATCCAAAGAACTAAACTACTATGATTTACATCCATGGATTTAACTAGAACATGCGGCCTGGTTAAGCACTGCTCCTTGCATTTCACATTGCTCATTTGAATTAGATATTTCAACCCTTCTGGAATAATTCAATTAATAAAAAGAATGCAAGAATCAAGAACTGATAAGCTCTTTAAGTGGTTAGCATTTGAATTTTTTTATTTTTTGTAAGGACAGTAAACAGGCACACGCCACAGCATCACATAGATGTAAGCTGCTGCACAGCTGAGGGGATAATAGTACAAAACAACAACTCCTAAACACTTTGACTAGTTTAAGGATGAACGCTCTATCTTTTCCTTAAAAGTGGTAGGCAATAACACAGAAAAAGCTTGAATATTGTTAAACAAATAACAGATTTACGACCAAAAAAGAAAAAAAAAAACAGTTGGGAGAGATTACCTTGAGACGACCAAGAAAAGATGATTGTAATAAGAGGAGCTGTGTTGAGGGTTTTGGGGTTTTCAAATTTCAGTGAAGGGAAGGGAAGGGAAGGGAAGAATCAAACACAGAGGAGGTGAGGCATATTCCTAGTTTTATCCATCCAAAGAGAGATTATTTTTATTTATTTATGCACTCACCTCGCCAGTAATATAATTCAAGAAAGAAAATGTAAACTTTGCAATTTAAAGGATCTCTATTTACGGGTGGGCTCATGGACGTTACATGAGACTGTGATCCTCGAGAGACACATGTCATACAAATCACTGCCAAGTGTGCGAAGTGAAATGGAGCTATTCATCTGCTTGTCCTGGGCCAGGCCTGATTTGTTTCTTTCGCAAAAACAGAGACACTTTATTTATTAGAGCATGTTAGTTTTTACCACCACCATCCCCAATTCCGCAGTGTGGCGGGTTTTTCTCTCATCTCTTAGTTTGTGAGCAGCCGAAGGGGTTCGATAGGCCACCGCCTTGTTCCATAAGGCACAAGGAGAGCTACGGATCCAAGACCTTTTAGAAAAAAAATCATACATCAATTTTAAATAAAGATTATTACGTTATATAATAATCATTGTTATATATCTGCTTTAAAACATTTTATTATCATTAAATTAATATTATAATAAATCATGATCCGTAAGTTTTATCAACTTACATAGTTTGAAACTATGCATGTCACTGCAAGTTTAACACTAATTAACCAATTATCATTTCATTCTTATGACCCCTATTTTTATCACACAATTTTCTAGTGATTATAATAGTGGGTTCCAATTTGGATATATATATATATATTCCCAAATTTAGGAATTCATAATAAAAAAATTTACTTTTCACTGCTTGATCTAAAGATTAAACCTCATGCCTAAGGAGGGAGCACACCCCTAATTATAATAGCAGTCAGTTCGAGGCAACTTCCTGCCATGTCTTCAGCAGCTGATGCTGGCCTATTGATGCTTGAGGGCACATCCAATAGGAGACATATATAATCATACAAACGAGTTCTTCAGATTACATAAAGATGTGAATTTCATCGTCGGCATTAGCATAAAGTATTGAATGCTGTCTCGGTGTACCTTGAACCCCCGAGAAATTTGGAGAAAGACTGAAAGAGCGTACAGCTAACACTAGCTGACACAAAACCACCACTTTGTTATTTTCATCGACCATACATTCGGTGACAAAATTCATGGATCTATTGGAGACTAAGATGCTCCAGTTCCATTGATGCATGCATCCATTGCTTTTTACCCCTACTAAACATATTTGATTTTGTAAGAATTCAACCAAGCAAAAGCGATAATCAGAAGTTAACTTCTGTCTATAGCACTAATTTATAAATCAGCCATTTCGAAATAAAAAATCAATCCGAGTTTCATTTCGAATGCAAGCCTCAAGCAGCTGGAACCTTTTTCCCATCTTCAATGAAGTAAATGGCGGTTTCAGGAACCTGAAAGGAAGAACAGTGGAATTTAAGCCAGTTAAGCATGAGAGAGAGAGAGAGAGAGATGTCAATTGATTAGCTCTACTGCGACAATGAGAATTTAAAGATAAAAATGGTTTTTTTTTCAAGAACAAAGTGAAGTTCTACTTAAAAATAAAAAGATTTCGAAGCTTTTCAACCAACCTAAGCAACTTTTGATTTTGTAATTTTTAAACATCAATTTTTGCTCTTAAAAATAAAATTTCAAAACAATTATTCCAAAGAACACTAATCACATAATCGCATCATGATCTAATGTGTAGATAAATGCAACTAAGAACACACACTATTCATAACATGATTACTATAGCATGCTTGATGAATCAAAACGTTGTAGAGCCATTAAATGAGTAAAAGAAACCCTTGCCAAGTTTGTAGACTTTGTATATACTAGTATGAATCTTTCCCTAACAGAATTAGGCATGTGAAATCTTTCTTTAGCAGAGCTATAAGATGGCAATGCAAAGCCTCTCACATGTAACTCAAAAGCTAGATAATCAACTTTCAAGTCAGCAGAGAACTTAAGAATGAATTCTTCACTTGCATATGTATAAGCTCTATTCAGGATTGAGCTCTGAAGACCCTGGTTTTTAGTGTCTTTAGGTTTCAAAATCATGGTTTTGTAAAGTAAACTAAACACCCACAAATCAGCTTTTTGGCTCAAAACTTGCTTTTTGGCAACTCAACCACGAAGCAAAACACACTCAAAATCTTTTGTAAGGGAAATTTGGACATGTTTCATATTGGTAATTTAATACATCCTATGTCTAAAAGAAGTAAGACTTTAAGACAACTAAAAAGAAAGGCGTCAGGAAGGATAACAAGAACAAAGAAAAGGTTGCTAGAAGAAATTACATCAGGCCAAGTCTCTGTGATGAATTCCACAATATCATAAGCAATATCACCTTGAACATCAATCTGTTCCTTCTCTGTTGGACCCTGAAAATGATCAAGCAATAAAAAAATTTATCATTCAGCGAAACAAAAAGTGAAGAAGTTGGTTAATCATAAGAGGCATTTTGTCCACCTTAACAACAGATGCTCCAGTAGCAAACTTTTTCCCAAGCTTTTTGGAAGCATCACTCAATTTAATACCTGAACAAAAATATTTCATCATATGAGAAAAGACTAGTAACTTTGGCAATTAGTATCAACCCAAGAAACCACAAGATAATTTATTTGAACTCAACTCAACATCCAGCTTACCAAATAGTTCCAATCCTTTAATAATGGTGATACTTTTGCGCTTGTTGCGAACAACCTTTTCGATCACAACTTCTTGTCTTACCTATACAGAACAATGCAAAGTGAAAAGAAAAGATCATTATAATAATTTCAGATCATTATAATTTAGCTAAAAATTAAATCCAGCACAAAACCATCTCATGAACAAAAGGCCAATAATTAATACCATCTTTCGTCAGTGAGAAAAAAACCATCCAGAAAACTGTGTTCTATAAGTACTTAACTCTTACAGTTTCACTTCATCCACACATTGCTGCCATCATATTAACAAAAAGCAAACCTCTAATGCACCCCCATTGAGATTCCAAGACCTAAGGAGGTGAAGAATACGACAGAAAGCAACATACTACATACATGATCAGATGCATTAGAAGCTAGTTGGAGCATCATTAAGTTACAGAGAAACTCACAACATATCACATACATGATCAGATGCATTAGAAGCTAGTTGGAGCATCATTAAGTTACAGAGAAACTCACAATCTCATTTCTGAAACTGAAGAATGTAGATGGTTGCCAGTTAACTTATCAAAAAACTTAAAAGACTCTTTCTTATGATTCCAAATTTCACATGCATCCAATCTCAACTGCAATGCTATCAAGAAATGAAAAGCTGATATAACATTTCCAAGACACATTCACAACCCCTATCTATCCTTTTCTTCGCCCTTTCCCATGAGACATGCATTAACATATGTCCGAACATGAAAATCAGAAGCATCTTGTACGAACTCATTTCTAATGCATCAATTAGAATTACAAGTAACATAAAAACAAAAACAAATAAGTACTTACTTTCTTCTTGATTTTGCCACCTGGAAGCCTTTTCACTTCTTCTTGCTTAGATGATGATGTCTCTCCTGAAACCAAAAGGCATTCAACAAAAAGATCAATCTTCGGAGAACAAAAGTAATCATGCCAAGTATAATGTTTATTGAAACAAACACACGTTATAAACAAAAACCCCTTGTGGTCAGTTTAAAAAACAAAAGTTACCTGATTGAACAGAAGCTGCCCCATCAGCACCACTTGAGGAAATTCCAACTGCTTGCAGTTGCTCAGAAACCCTCTCGGCCTCCTTTTCATTAGCCTCTGCCAACCCAAAAATAAAAAATCAATTATTTGTATCTTTTGATCAGTTTTTACGACAGGAGACAAACAGATGGTTTCTGGGTTTTCAAGATTGAAACAAAAAATTGAAGAAGTTTGTACCTTTAAGGAGATCAGGGTAGAGTTCAGGGGCGTTTTTGATCAGCCAAGGCTTGCATTTCTCGAAATCAGGCCCGAATTCACAATACTCTGCAGGGAGAGAGCATGTTGGGCAGTATAACACTTTCACTGGCTCAGGTTTCTGTGCCATTGAATTCTGAGTGAAACTGATTCTCGGAGTTCTGTTTGTGGGGATCCGGATTGATTTATGTGGCAAGTACTATGAAGTTAGTTCTGTGTCCAAAAGGGAGAAAGAGAACCTGATTCTACTACGTTCGGGAAAGTTGAAGGCTTGAAGCTAGCGATGGAATGGGTGAGATCGGTTCGGGTCGGATTAGGTGGGTTTTTTTGGTATACCTAAGCCCGATCTGATACGTTATGACCATCATTTGCATTTCGATTGGATCCGATAAGATGACGAGTCTTTTCTAAATATTGGATGTAGGACTGTCATCATGATAAACTCGGATCGAGTGATAATAAATTTAAATTTATTTTATTTAATAAAATAAATTTAATTAATTTTTAGTAATTCGGATGTGATTTTAAATATATAAATTTGGATCCAGATTTTAATCGATTGGATTTTATTCAGAGTTTCATTGGATTTATTTCTTGATTTTTATAAAAAAAATTATATTTACTATATTTGAAATATTATTTGATTATAATATATATATATATATATATATATATATATATATATATATATATCTTAAACTAGATAAAAAAAGTATGATAAAACTAAAAAAATAAATAATAAATGATATTTTTTTCTTATCCGCATATAAAAAATAGAACGATGAAAAATATAATAATACCAACTCTTGAGAATATATATAAATCAATTTGTAATTTTTTCATGAAATTGAATTAAGAAAATAAAAAAAATTATATATAATTTTTTGAAAATATAGTCATCATTGTGGAATGACATGTGCTATTTGAAATTTATAATAAATAAATTCTAAATTTCAACCTAGTTTCATATTTATATATTTTTCATATTTAAATTTTTAATATTTTAAAAATATCATTCTTAATTTTGAGTTGGATTATTATCGGATTGAATTAAGGTAGATTCGAATTTAATCTATTTAATTAACGAATTTGGATTATAATCAAATTCGGATAAAAAAAAATTATTTATCATGTTCGTTTAATTATATCATTTCGAATCAAATTCTGGTCAATGTCCTATGCATTCATAACTCTAATTGAGTGTATCCATCTAGAATTTTTTTTCCAATCTTTTTTTAAAATTATTTTTTAAATTTCCTATGACATGTATTCAATAATATTTTTTCTATATAATCTTATTTTTCTGAATCACATTTAAAATAATATTACTACTATTATACGATTTAAAAATATGAAATTGTATCGTTAAATTGATTTTTTTATCCTTTTAAAAAAATCTCTTTTTAAAATTTTGTGTAACTCGTCAAAAAATACATCCTAAAAAATTAAACTAAAAAATCTCACTAGGCAATTAATCTTTTTTTTTTTAAGTCGCACTTAAATTGATACTATATCTCATTTAAAAATATAAAAGTATGTCATTAAAATATATATGTGTGTGAATCATTTTATATCTCTTTTATATTTAAAAATCATTTATATGATGCTGAATTATGAGTTCAATAATTATTAAATGACCTATCATATATTTCAAAAAGAACATCACCCATCTAACTCTATTCAGTATTTGATAGAGAGATATGTACAGAGAAATCATAAATAATAATTAAAAAAAAATGAAGAAGATTGCAAGTTACTGGATCGTAATTTTATTGTAGGGTCCAATCATGGATCTCACTAATTAATCTAATGGCTCGTGTAAATTCTAGAAAAAAAAATTTCCTCAACATTTAGCACCACTTTTAAATACTGATTTACATATTCTTAATTAATAATCATTAATTATCGTTTTTTTATCATATGTTTAAATTTATATATTAAACTTCAATTATAAATTAAAATTAGAAACTTAAATTGATTTTCATAGGATTTGAAATATAATATTATGATAATAATCATGCACATTTAAAAACAAATTAAGGAATTCTTTTTTTTATTTAGAAAATAAAATTTAGTTAAAAGGTAAATGTTGAATAATTAGTTTTCTAACAAAAAAAGTTTGTAAAATAGTATAAGTATGGTTTTCTTATAAAGGTCAAGTGATCGGGTAGAATAAACCTTCATTCATGCTCATACATAACTGTTAAAAAAAAAAATCAATCTAAAATCTTAAATTATTAAATAAGATATTAGAAATAACTTTATATAACTCTTTAACATATATGACACATCTTCGAGTGAAAGATTTTTTATCTCAAAAATTATACGGACTCACTTCTATTTTGTGCTTAATTATTTAATTAAAAGAGAAGGTGAGAGTATTAAAATTTAAACTCCTAACTTGCACAAAATCACTACTATTTTGTATTTAATTATTTAATTAAAAGAAATGTTAAGGCTAATGAAATTGTGTTTAATTATTTAAATAGAAGAGAAATTGAAGGTGGTGAGAATGGTAGAGATAAGATTTGAACTCATGATCATTTAATTATTAAATTTTTAATATTATATTAAAAAATTATTTCAATTCAAAAATTTGAATTGTTTAAGTGATGATTTGATAACAGCATCATATAACTTTTTAACACTAACTAAGATCAAAATAGTTTGAATAGAAACCCAATCCATTACGACCCCAATAAATTCAAATAAAAACCTGACGACAGTGAATTGGTCGATTTTGTCCCGCAAATGTCTTTTTATTCTTTTTTTTTTTTTTCAGTCCTTTTGTTTTTCTTCACTATATTTGGATGTTTACTGAGTTTTACTCCAAAAAATGAACTTAATTTTGTCAAAAATAGAGATAATGCGTTCATAATAAAATATGAATAGAACAGCATAGAAATGGAATTGGTCTAGCTAAATTAAGAATAAAACTATTCAACATAATATCGTAGTTTCTCTTTTCAAATGCATATAACATTAGAATGGAAAAGTAAATTAAAATGACCCCAATATTTTGGTCCAAACAATAACAAGAAATTTATTCAGTGGATTGATATTAGAGAACAATAGGTGAATTGGAAATTAATTTTTTGCTTCTTTTACGTGACCTTAATTGCAACAATTAAGCTCCTTTTATCCTGGGTATCCTTTCACCCCTTTGTTTTTTTTTTTTTTCAAAAAAAATTAGAGTTACAACGGATGGCATACAAAAAATAATCTAATATTTCTAAGTATAGAAATAGGATTAAAGGTTTAGAATGTCCCTACACTGTTTTATTACTCTTAATCGTGTCCCTTTACTAATATTTTTCAATAATTATGCTTCTCTATCCTTAATTTGAGTCTAAATTTCGTTCCTCCGACTAAATTTTTCAATAACTATATCAATCTTTGGTAATAGACTCACGAAAATGATGACACATGGCATTTTTTAAAAAAAAATTAAAAACTCTTTAAAAAATTGAAATGCCCCTTCTCAATAATCGTGTCCCTCTACTCTTAATTTGAGTCTAAATTTCATCCATGTGGTCAAATTTTTCAATAACTACATCAATTTATGATGACAAACTCACGAAAATGTTGACACATGGCGTTTTTTCAAAAAAAATTCTGAAAAAAATTAAAAAAATCCTTAAAAAAATTGAAATGGCCCTCTCTTTTTCTATCTTTATGTATACAAATAAATAATTAATGTAATCCCTCAAATTGTTTTTATTTTCTATCAAATTCAAACAAAAAAAGAAAATTTTTTCTGTATAGAAAAGAATAGAAGCAAAAAAAATTTTTATTTATTTCTGAAATTTATAATGAAAATCTATTTTAAATCGAAACCCAAGAAAAATTTATTTTTTTCATAACATAAGAATAAAAACAAAAGGCAGATGAAAAATGGCACTTTTGGATTTTGTAATTATTTTTATGTATAGGAAAGAATAGAAGCAAATTTTTTGTATTTATTTTAAAAGTTTATTATGAAATTTTATTTTAAATCCAAACCCAAAAAAAAAAAATTATGAAATTTTTTCATAACACGAGAATAAAAGAAAAAACAAATAAAAATAAGGACATTTTAGGTTTTGTTTTTAGAATTTGAGAGAGAGAGAAAAAAAAAAACACTGACATGTGAAATTAATTTTATATTTCTACATCTAAGGGTAGAGAAAAAGAGGAGGATTTTGAATTTTTTTTTAGTATTTTTTTATTTTTTTCAATTTTTTTTTAAAATGCCACGTGACCACATTCTGTGAGTCTATCGTCGAAAATTAATGCAATTATCAAAAAAGTTAGTCGGATGAATGAAATAAAGATGCAAATTAAAAATAGAGAGACATGATTATTGAAAAAATTAATAGAACATGATTAAGAAAAATAAAACAATAAAAAGACATCTTGAACCTTTAACCCTTTAAAAATATATATATTCAAATTACTATATCTTCTTCTATGAAGTAATCATCAATTATTTATGGAGAAATATACAATTTCTTAATGCTTCTATAATAAGTACGAATGCAGAACAACTTCACTTGAATAGTTATACGTAAATGGAGAAACGATGACAAAAATCAAATTAATAATTTATTCTTAAAGAGATATTTTAAGAGGTACAAAAACAATTGAAATATTTTGTAAACAAAATTGAAAAGTTGAACTGGTTGAAAAGTAAAGTGAAAATGCGTTCCTTCTAAAGAAATTTTAATCTGTTGAAAGTTACTTGAATGCATCTTTATTTTTGGGTAAAGGGTAAAAAAGTGGGCAGGCCCGTCTAAGATTGGCCCAAACATCCCAGCCCAGACCATATCCAAGTTGAGGGCTCAATCCACTTCTCTCCGTCCATGGCTCTAGGCCACGTCAATTGCCAGCCTGTGATTTTGTGAGTAAATTATAAATTAACCCCTCTAGTTTTAAAAAACGAATTAATTAGTCCTTTCTGTTTCAAAAAATAATTATTTAATTATTTTTGTTCATTTTAATTTTTTTTTGTAATTTTTTATTTTAAAAAATGAAAAAATTAGATATTATGAAAAGATTGATAAAAAAATGTAATATTAAATTAAGGATCATCAATACTTTTTCATGAAGCCAAATTACGATCATCAAAGAGATTCAATTTCTTCCATGTTC